TCTCCTCCACTCTCTGTCTCCCCCTCTCTCTCTCAGTCTCTCCTCCGTCACATAAAGTCGTTCCTCCGCTGCGTCGTCTCTCTGTTTCTCTGTTTCTCGGTGTATGTGAGTCCTGCCCGAGCCTGTCCCTCCGGCCGATGCATTCTGACTCCCCCTGACAGATCGGATCAGTGCAGAGGATTAGCCTTTTAAACACATCGCCGCGGGCAACCACCACAGACAGCTGCCAAAGTTTGTTATGGTTCACTTGAAAACATGACAGGAACACGACAAAGTACTTTAAATATTAGTACACAGAAACCCTACACTGCAGTACTGATGTAATTACTGTTTTGGAAATGTCTTTAAAAGTGAAATATTCAGTGTTTGGTATTTTAAACGTGCACTATGGAACTTTCCTAGTGGAGGAACTGCCACTTTATCGTCTCCATGGAGATGTTATTGTTTCTCCTGGAAGGTTCCACAATATGAGATTAAACTAAAGCCATCTTGCATTTATCCATTTGCGGTAAGCGGGGTTACGTCTCTGCAGATCTGACTTGTAACTTGTCTTGGTGGTGTCCCACGCTTGTCACCATGGAGATAAAAAACTACCAAGTGACATACAGTCTATCAGAAAAGCTACATCGTGCACCTTTAATGAGAAGAGGTCAGACACACAAGGATACTGGAGGACGGGAGGGCACCTGACACACAAGGGTGGGCAATTCTTTTTTCCATGGGGCCACATGAGAAACAGAAAATACTGTGGGGGGCCAAGCCAAAAACAACTCAATTCTGCATCATATGAATTGTATTTCTTTATAAAAAGCAGTAAATATCATTGTTTTGATGAGCTGGTAAGACTGGTCAGAGTTCATGTTATGAATAAGCAATGAAAAAGTGAGGCTGCCTTACAAAAAAATTTTATACAAAAACCTTTAAATTAAAAAAGAAAATAATAACACTATATAAAAAATAAAATAAAATAAAAGCAATGCAGCTTTAGTCCATGCATGAGGTAAAATTATAAAATATGTTTGGAAGAAAGAGGATGGCAGAGGCTCTCTGATTTGCAGTGACCATTAATAAATACACTGCAAATCCGAGTGCCTCTGCCATCCTCTTTCTTCTCAACAAGAATTCAAGCCCTCTGGTCTGATGAGCACCTGTACACGCAAGTTTTGATCCAGTGCAGCACTCCAATATCGTTATTTTTAAATAAAATATGTTTATTTTGTTATTCGATATGAGCTTAAACGGGCCGGTCAGAGTCAACCAAAGGGCTGTGTGTCCTGGGAGTTGTACAAAGGTCTGATATAGGAGGATGGGAGGGCATCTGACACACAGGACGGACATGTGACACACAGGACAGACATGTGACACACAAGGAGGGCGTCTGACACACAAGGAGGGCGTCTGACACACAAGGAGGGCGTCTGACACACAAGGAGGGCATCTGACACACAAGGAGGGCATCTGACACACAGGGAGGGCATCTGACACACAAGGATACAGGATGATGGGAGGGCATCTGACACACAGTACTATAATGTTTATAGTTTGAAATGTCTCTTATATAAAATGTAATATGTCTCTGTCTGTACATTCTGTCTCAGCTGATCCCACTTAATAATGCGTTTTTCAGCTGGAATTCCACATCTGTTTGAATGGATTTAACATTAGCAGAATATGGTCCAACTCAGCCAAACCAAAGAGAAATGAGACAAAAGTGCACTTTTTAACAGCGTGTGGCCAAAATTATGACTAACCGCTCAGAAAGTATTAACTCAGGACCGATCCAAAACAAATAGTTATGTAATAAATGACTTCTCAACTACTATTAGAACTACTATTTGCTACTACTTAATGTTAGTGAGGACAGTGGGAGAGTTATTGCATTTTACAGAGCAGTACATCAACTCACCCTAATGGAACAGATAATACTCCCTACAACTGTACAACAACTCACCCTAATGGAACAGATAATACTCCCTACAACTGTACAACAACTCACCCTAATGGAACAGATAATACTCCCTACAACTGTACAACAACTCACCCTAATGGAACAGATAATACTCCCTACAACTGTACAACAACTCACCCTTATGTAACAGATAATACTCCCTACAACTGTACAACAACTCACCCTAATGGAACAGATAATACTCCCTACAACTGTACAACAACTCACCCTTATGGAACAGATAATACTCCCTACAACTGTACAACAACTCACCCTAATGGAACAGATAATACTCCCTACAACTGTACAACAACTCACCCTTATGGAACAGATAATACTCCCTACAACTGTACAACAACTCACCCTTATGGAACAGATAATACTCCCTACAACTGTACAACAACTCACCCTAATGGAACAGATAATACTCCCTACAACTGTACAACAAATCATCTTTATGTAACATATAGTACTTCCTACAACTACTACAACTCACCCTTATGGAACAGATAATACTCCCTACAACTGTACAACAACTCACCCTTACGGAACAGATAATACTCCCTACAACTGTGCAGCAACTCACCCTAATGGCAAGGCAAGGCAAGTTTATTTGTATAGCACAATTCGTACACAAAGTAATTCAAAGTGCTTTACAGAATAAGAAATACATTAAAATCATAATAAAAACAAATCAAAACATAAATATTAAAATAAAAAAGAGGGACATAAATTGGAGAGAAGATGGAACAGATAATACTCCCTACAACTACTGTACAACAAATCACCTTTATGTAACATATAGTACTTCCTACAACTACAACAACTCACCCTTATGTAACAGATAATACTCCCTACAACTACAACAACTCACCCTTATGTACACACCTTTATGGAACAGATAATACTCCCTACAACTGTACAACAACTCACCCTTATGTAACAGATAATACTCCCTACAACTACTGTACAACAACACTTTATGTAACACCCTACAACCTATTATGGAACAGATAATACTCCTACAACTACAACAACTCACCCTTATGTAACAGATAATACTCCCTACAACTGTACAACAACTCACCCTTATGGAACAGATAATACTCCCTACAACTACAACAATTAACACTTATGTAACAGATAATATTCCCTACAGCTGTACAACATTATTACTTATTTTTCTATTTTATTTTGACTTGTACATTTACATTTATATATTTATGTCTTATTTGACACCTGTCTCTTGCTCGCTCTTTGTTACTTAGTCAGAATTTATATCTTGTGATACTACTACTAATAAAGATTTATTTATAAAGCACTTTTAAATCAAGGTTTATGAACAATACAAAAAGCATAAAAACAGCATACCGAAAGATGATTATGTGAGCTACTGTGTCCAAATAATTTCCCTTGTGGATCAATAATGCCCCTCTGTGACTCTTGGTGTTCCCACTGGTCTCCCATTCACAAACTAACCAGGACCAGACCTGCTCAGCTTCTATCTGATGAGATCAGGGTTGAGAAGGAGGTTTGGCTGATCAAAATCAGGACTAAACTAAATAGCAACGTGGGTCAGGTCTAGTCACAGTTTAAGTCTAGATTACATTTACATTATTTAAAGTGCTAAACCAGGACTAAACCAGGACTAAACTTGGAGGAAGTGTCTGCCGAGAGGGAAACATTTGTCATTATTAGTAACAGACTGCAGCTAATTTAGGGATAAACCAGAATCAAACCAGGACTAAACCAGAACTAATCCAGGAACAGACCAGGAATAACAGGACTAAACCAGGTTTAAACTCTCCACTGCAGCTCCTGGTATTCCCAGCGCTCTCCCATCCAAGTACTAACCAGAACCAGACCTGCTTAGTGTCTGACATCACATGAGATCAGGATTCGACAAGGAGGTTTGGCCACCCTGTCCAAATAAATCTTTTTCAGATTTTTCATAGTACTTTCTGCACTTCACTTCACCTGTACTCAGCTCCGAGTTCCTTATAGACAGACAGCAGAGCTCGTCTCCAGAGCTGAGATCACGTCTGAACTCAGACTTTTCCATATGTTTCTATGCATCTGAAACCACAGCCCTCTGCTTCTGTGTGTGATTCTCATTCTACGTCTCACTTTTCTATTGTCAGCGCTGAGTGAGGACATTACGCTTCAAACGATCAAAACACATGTGGAATTATGGGAAAAGCACCTGTGAGGTCATCATGATGCGCCCATAAAAGGACGTCCAGGGCAGAGGAACAGGAAGTAAATCTGCTCATGTGAAAATGAATGAGGGGAGAGTGATGACAGAGAGAAACCTAACACTGTTACTAAGAATGTGGGGAAGGAGACTAGTGTTGTAGTCAAGACCACACTAAATGAGACCAAGACCAGTCCGAGACCACAGCGTCCTGAGACTGAGACAAGACCAAGACCAGGGCCCCTCGAGACCAAATCAACACCATCTGGGTCATTTCCTACATTTATTTGTATTTTACATTTATTTTGGTGCGTATCAATATTTTTTTTTAAATCTATCTCCATTTGATATGGTTAATGTTCATTTAAGCAAAAAATAAGCCAGACTGTACTGCACTGAAACACTCTGTACTCCTTTTTTGGCCTTGACCCACAGTTTGAGAACCCCTTCTTTAAGAGAACTTCCACTGGCACTTTACACAAAACAACTTCAAAGTGAATCAAGTGTTTTTTTCATGTTCATAACATTCACAGTTACATTGTTTTACTGGTTTTGCAGTGATATTGACCAGTCTCTGCACATTCACCAGCCGTAATGAAATACGATCACACTCATCAAGTGTCAGACCTCGAGTCCAAGACAAGACCAAAACCAAGCCCCTTCGAGTCCGAGACAAGACCGAGTCCAAATGCGCTCGAGTCCGAGACGAGACCAAGACCGTAAAAAAGTGGTATTCTGTAGAATGACAGAGGTGAGGCTGCCAGTCTCCACCACCACAATTTGAACTGTCGACTTTGGGGTAGATGGGCGAGTGTTCTAGCCACTGAGCCACATCGGCAGAAGTGGAGCGGTACTTACCACATGGAAGACGTGCTGGTCGTGGCTGGTGGTGAGGACCATCTCAGGCTGAAGTCCAGACTGAAGGAAGAACCCGTGAGCTGAGACCGTGCAGCCTCCACTGCAACAGACACACAAAATACACCAGAGGCTTTAACAAAGGCAAAAGCAATTTTACTACATTTGTCCTCCCCTGGATTTTTTTTTCTTCATTTTGCCCCGTAATGAGGTGTTATACATCCTTTTTTACAGTACAACCTGTTATTTCACAATCTGTGTGCTGTAGTTTAGTTGTGTCATATGGCTGTAATAAAAGCTATAGGATCAGAAATACAAATGACAAAAAGAAAAGAAAATTTACACTCTTTCACTTTGTGGAAACCGGCTGACCTCACAGTGTTAGAATTTGTTTGTTTGACGGTAGGTGGGTACTTTTTTCATTTAACCAATCGCTAACAGGGTTAACTGGTATATTAAGCTTTTCCCAAATTCCGTAGGAAGAAGGGCAATACCGTCTTTCTCCTTGATAAAATTCACCAAACATTCTCTTTGTTCCGGCTTTAAATCCTCAGTCTTGGGAATCGTTGCCAACACAATATATATGACTCTTTGCTGATTGGCTGGAGCCCGAACTCGCACTTCTGGGGTTTTGTGTATTCTGATTCCTGACCTAGTCGCTGGAGAGAAATTAAATTGAGCGGAGGCACTAGGTGGTGCCAGCCTGTCTAAGAAACACACACCAAACATGTGCAAACACCTTTTTGGACATAAAAAAAATGCTTAACTTAGGGCCTTAGCTACAAAAGTGCAAAATATCAAGTCTGTAAGTAACTTAAAATATCCTTATTGCCTTAAAACAAAAAGTGCAATGGCCTCATGACTTCACTGGCACCAGTCATGGAAACAGCTCGTGTCAAGTCCAGGGCACAGAGCCACATCACTTCCTGCATTTCCATACTGTATATTACATTTGGATTTGTACATTCTGAGTGAACTTTGAAAGGTTTTTCAAATAAAAATAGCAAGAGATGTGGGATTACGCAGACCAAGATGTCAGTTGTTATGAACAGAAACGCTAAGAGCAGTCGACCATCTTGACTCACTACATTCTTTGGCAAAGTCTGACCCAAAATGAAAATGGACAGAAAACAAAGTTCCTATTGGACACTTATTTTCTTATGTCATCATGCAGCATGTGCGTGACATAGGATAATGCTGAAAATATGCTCAGAAAGCCACAACTGTCAGCTTTTCAAGGGAATAAAGAGTAAGTTTCTATCTTGTATGGTTGTAAAGTTATATAAAACATATTGCCTGATCTGGAAGGATTAAATCGCCATATCGACAAGCCAATTTAGCCACAGAGTAATGGTCCCACTGTCCTACTTACTGCTAATACTTTACTTTGAGATATGCTAACTGCGACCAATTTTCAGTGTCAACAAATAAAGTGATTACTCTTGCAGCCTTAGTCTGAATCACTATACTTCTTCCTCCTGTCTGATACTTCTCCAGATGTGATAAAATGTTCCGGTTTGGAATATTTGTCCTGTATTTTCCGTAAAGAACTCAAATCATTCTTCACCTCCTCCTCACTCCCTCACTGTGTCCTCGCTCAGTCCTCGCTCGCCCGTCTCCTGACCTCTCAGAACGCAACAGAACGCAACGAAACCCGAAGGAAGACATTCAAAGTACGGTGATTTCAAAACCATATGGATCTAGGTCACAGATACAGTTTTAATATGTGCAGGTTTAGGTCAGCTCAGGACTAAAGGGACATAAAACAAGTACATGACCAGAACTAAACCAGGACTAAACCAGGACTAAATTAGGTCTTAAGTATGGGACTTATAGGTAACTAGAGAGGGAGGTTTCTGGTCAATCCTTATCTGGTTCTAGTTCAGTCATGGTTGAGTACTTCAGTTGTAGTTTTGGTTTAGTCCTGATCAAGACCTGTTTATCCTTGGTTGAGTCTTTTAATACAGAGAGGGAAGAGTCTGGGGAGCAAGAGGAAAGGGGGAGGTGTCTGGGGAGAGGGGGACCTTGTTCCTCACCTCACGAAGGACCTGGAGGGCTGGATGCTGTTGATGATGGGGTCCTGGTTGTAGGAGAAGACCGTTGGGGCCCTGAGCTCCACGGAGTCCAGACTGAAGCGGACCACTTCCTGTGAGGGGAGGGGCTGAGGCGGGGTCTTACAGGTCACCATCGACGACGACAGGCTGCACAGAGAGAAGAAGAAATCAGGCGGCCATGTTTGTAGTTCTTCATGTACAATGTAGAGGCAATGACCCGTTTATATTTTGTAAAGCTGCTTAAAAAGTGTTAACCTTCCTATTTTTTATATTTTTGCCATGCAGTGAACACATTTTGTAACTAATTGTGATTTAATTACTAACAGATATTGAAGATCTGCTTAGAATTCAATCGACAATCAACAACAGATGGATACAGAGAAATACTGGACTAGTCACCGCTCCCTGTGTCGCTTCTCAAGCCAGGCTCAAACACAATCATCCAATCAGAAGTGTTTATTTCAGCGACGTGAACCGATGGAGCTCACTGGTCACCCATCATTTTGAACAAAATCACATTTTTCTCACCTCAGATGAACAGAATTTAATGCTTTACTCACTGATTCTGCAGAAATATGTGATGTTTTTCATTCACCTGTGATATTTTTTTAAATTTTCTTTTGCTCTTGTAAGCCATATTTGTTTTGATACAGATGGGCCATGTGTGTAGTCAGGCTGGCGCCACCTAGTGCCGCCGCTCAGATTTCATTTCTCTCCAGTGACTAGGACAGGAATTGGAATACACTAGATGGTTTACAAGAACCCTGGAAGTGCGAATCCGGACACCAGCCAATCAGCGAAGAGCCATACATTCTGTGTTGGCAACGATTCCCAAGATCGAGGATTTAAAGCCGGAACAAAGAGAATGTTTGTTGAATTTTATCAAGGGGAAAGACGTTATTCCTCTTCTTCCTAAGGGATTTGGGAAAAGCTTAATATATATAATTAGCCCTGTTAGCGGCGCATTGCATACATCACGACCAAATAGCAGTGACTGGTTAAATGAATAAAGTACACGCCTACCATCAAGCGAACGAAATCCTAATCCTGCGAGATCAGCTGGTTTTACTTCGTAGAAACCGGCTTCAGATGCATACCAGGGGCTACCATGTGTGCCCCTGATTGACTAATCCACCTGTCAATCATGCTCATCTTAACCCATTCATTAACCCAGATTCACCAGTGACCAGAAGAAGTGTATTCTGGATCACAGGCTAATATTTTTGTGATTTGTTAGTACTTTTGTTGATTTTAGAAAGTGTCTTTAGTGCAGAGTTTGGTCTGTATAAACCACAGCGTGTCCACGTGCCCAGTGCACTCTTACCTCTGTATCTTGCAGACTCCTTTTCCAATGGTCACCTCTCTCTTGTTCCCTGAGTCTAAGAACGCTCCTCGGATCGTCAACATTGTGTTTCCAGATTTAGGCCCAAATGTGGGGAAGATCTCATGGATCACAGGCTCCTGGAGGGCACAATGTCAGAATGTGATATGGAATTTACAATATGAGCTTCTCCTCTGCATCCTCTGCTCGTAAAGGATCTGTTCACACTTGTCCTGGTTTGATCCTAGTTTAGTTTATACTATGTGCTTTTATACTTGTTCTGATACGACTCAAGATCATTCCAAAGCTATTCAGGAAAGGTATTGATATCTGCACAAATGAGTACCTAGATTCAGTACTAGTTTTAGTATTGATTCGTATCTGAATTTGATACTTTTGCTCGGCCTAGTGTGAACGCAGAAGACACTGGTTTAGTCCTGTTTAGCCTGCTCCTTTAGTATAAAAATAAAACAAAAATATTAATAAAGACATGCACATTTTAAACTTTTTTTTTTTTTACCCCAAAAGTGAAGCCCTCCATCTTGGCCACTTGGGTTCCGCTGGTCACTTTCACGTCTTTATTTTTTATCGTAAAATTCCCGCTGAAAACCGGAGCACACTGCAGCTCTGTCCACCTACGAAACACCAAAACAATCGCATTACTCGCACAAATTACAGCCCCATTCGGCGTAATTACCATGTCTATTGGATAACTATGTGGGAGAATGAGCTGTTGTGCTACAGACTGGCTCGGGACACGCTGTTCGGGGGCTGGAGCTGAGTTAGTGCATTTTTCCCACTCATTTTGGAGTTAGCGGAGTCATGTGACCACTGAACGAGGAAGTACAAGTCAACAGCATTCATTCATTTACAAAAGAACAGTGTTTGTGTGAGAAAGGAAACAAGGGAGAGAAAAAACACAGTAGGGATGCAACTACTACTACTATACTACTACTACTGCCAGTGGGATTAATGAGGATGAATGAATGGTTGTGATCAAAATAATACAAATTTTAAAGGTCCTAAATTATGTAAATGTTTGAGTAACCATTTATTATTAGCAGTGTTGGGAGTAAAGGACTAAGAATAAGTCCTAGTCCAAGATTAGTCCTGGTTTGGTCCTGGTTTAGACCTGGTTTGGTCCTGGTTTGGTCCTCGTTTAGACCTGGTTTAGACCTGGTTTAGGTCTGGTTTAGTCCTGGTTTAGACCTGGTTTAGACCTGGTTTAGTCCTGGTTCACTTCTGGTTTAGACCTGGCTCAGTCTTGGCTCAGTCCTGGTTTAGTCCTGGTTTAGACCTGGTTTAGTTCTGGTTTAGTCCTGTTTTAAACCTGGTTTAGTCCTGGTTCAGCTCTGGTTCAGTCCTGGTTCAGTTCTGGTTCAGTTCTGGTTTAGTTCTAGTTTAGTCCTGGTTTAGACCTGGTTTAGTCCGGGTTCAGTACTGGTTCAGTTCTCTTAAGTCCTGGTTTAGTCCTGGTTCAGCTCTGAGTTTAGTTCTGGGTTAGACCTGGTTTAGTTGTGGTTCAGTTCTAGCTTAGACTTGGTTCGGTCTTGGTTTAGTCCTGGTTCATCTCTGGTTTAGTCCTGGTTCACCTCTGGTTCAGTCCTGGTTTAGTCCTGGTTCACCTCTGGTTCAGTCCTGGTTTAGTCCTGGTTCAGTCCATATATGGCGCAAAAGTTTGGCATCTTCACACAGTTATTTTGGTGAGAGTAACTTAAAAGTGCTGCAGTAGTCGTGTAATGTCTTACATTTAAATGCAGTAATATTGTAATGTAACAAATGACTTTGAAATGACAGTAACAAGTCATAAAAAATGTATTACAGTTTTGAAGTAACTTGCCCAACACTGATTATTATTAGTCTGTTTACATCAACGAAGCTCAAACTGAAGAGCAATTCTAACTGAATCTTAATTTGAATACATTGTTTTTTAGTTTAAGTCATCTGTGCTGGTTCAAATCGTATATTTATTTGTTCTTCTCATGTTTTACTGTATTATTATCACGTTTGAATGCGTAGTCTCACCTGTTGAGTCCTCCGTGTCGGTCCAGTTTGCACGGGGCTCCTCCCACCTCCACACTGACCATGGGCGACCTGAAGTTTTCTGTTTTGTCGAAGCCAAAGTTGAGTCCACAGATGGTGAGGGACGTGGAGCCGCGAACTGGGGCACTGCTCGGCCAGAACTGAGAAAAACAATACGAGAAATGATAGTTAAGTTTGGTCTGAAAACAGCAAAAGTCAGGACTAAAGCAGAAAATAGTCAAGTGAAGTTAGACCATAGACTTTATAAAGCAGTGAACTAACGCACCCAGTCAAATGAAGCTCACAGAGACTAGCAGTTATAGGAGTAATTTAGAGCTGAGTTCCATATTAGGAATAGAAACTGATTTACGGACAAAATAGTGAAATAAAAATACCAAGATCGTGTTCATTGATATACACAGTCTATGAGTTTGGCCAAATTTTGGTGTATTTTTAAAGTGTTTTTTAAAGTACATTTTTTTTTAAAGAATATGTATAATTTTAAACTAAGCAAATTTTAGTCTTGGTCATTTCTCTCTGTGATACGTTTGTTGTGAAAATGAGTTTGCAAATAGATTTTTGTCATGTGAGCCGGAGTCCCATCAACCAGGACTAAACCTGGATTAAACTAGGATTAAACCAGGTCTAAACTAGGACTAAACCAGATCTAAACCAGGTCTAAACTGGGACTAAACCAGGGACTGAACAGGAGCCAAACCAGGACTAAACCAGCAAGTAAACCAGAACTACACCAGGGACTGAACGGCAACTTAACCAGAAACTAAACCGGGATGAAACCAGATCTACACCAAGAACAGAAACTAAACTAGGAACTAATCCAGAACTAAACCAGGACTATACCAGGGACTAAACAGGAACTAAACGTGGACTAAACCAGGACTACACCAGGAACTGAACAGGAAGTAAACCAGGATAATCTAGCAAATAAACCAGAACTATACCAAGGACTAAACAGGCACTAAACCAGAACTACACCAGGAACTGAACAGGTACTAAACCAGGAACTAAACCTGGACTAAATAAGGAACTAAACCAGGAACTAAACCTGGACTAAATAAGGAACTAAATCAGGAAATAAACCTGGACTAAATAAGGAACTAAATCAGGAAATAAACCAGGATTATACTAGGGACTGAACACATACTAAATCAGAAACTAAACCAGGAACTAAAACTGGACAAAAGACAAAAACAGGTCACCAGATCTGGTCACAGTGAACAGTTCCACTTGTCCATGCATTTTTGAGGTTTAAGTGTACTTCAGTTAAGGTTAAGCACCTCTCCAGTTCACAGCTCAGTGCACTCTTTTTCTCTCTCATTTCTCTTCCCCGTCTCTTTCTCCTTTTTTATTTACTGCTGTACCACTGTAGTTTCTAAGGCACGACCGATATATCAGTTATTATTAGGGCTGGGTATCACTAAGAATTTACTTATACGATACATAGGCCACGATACGAAACATATCTCGATACAGTGCACTTTTGATTTGATATATTTCAAAGCGATTTGATTCGGTTCAATAAAAAAATAAAGGCTAAATCAAAGGCTGTGATACTAAAAGTCTTTGTTAAACCACTTCTTGTGCAAAGTTCAAATGAAACACAAACATTTTAATCATCAAAACAGTGAAAATGTCAAATGTGTCGCATAAAGAAGTTTCCTTCCTCTAAATATGCAACAAAATTGTAGCACTGCCACAAAATAATTAAGTAAAATGCACCAGAAAATACTCTTGGTGATATATCGATACAGCAGTCCCCAAAATCGATACTGTCTCATCACATTAAACGATATGATATGTCAATATTTTGATATTTTCGCACACCCCTAGTTGTTGTTATCAGCCAATATGGACACTTGGAAACATATCGATTTAAATTCTGCCGATGTGGGCCGAGTTTTTCCCCATTTCCATGTTTTTTTCTTTTGCAGTGGACAAAAACGGGTAAAGTACTGGCAAGCTGCATTTCTTGAGGAGCTGTAATTCCAAAAAAAGTCTCCAAAAAACAGTGCTACAATGATATAACACAAAGATATAAAGAAACATTAATCATGAATGGTGAGGCCAAAGCTGTGAACTGAATCACAAAATGTATTTATTATGATTTATGTTAAAATCTCATCTTTTATCTTTCTCGTGGACCCAATCTCGTATCTTATCTTGTCTTGAGGAAATCGGGTCTCATCCCAAACATATTATAAAGATTAGACTCTATATATCAGGGTTCTCCCAACCTTTTTCCTCAGGTGAGCTACCTTTACAAAACGAAAAATAATATAATATAGGAAATAAAGTACACATAAGATCCATGGCAAGACTTAGATGGGGTACAGCTGGATAAAACCTAAAACATTATTTATTTATGAGCGCACAAAGTCAGGCATTAAAATGATAGTTTTACAATAATAATGGGCAGTAGGCATTTAATTCATCAAATCTGAGTTATTTACGACAATACGTGTAATTCAGAAATCCCTTGGCGAACTACTTGAGTTGGAGACCCCTGTTTTATATATACAGTCATTTCATCCAATTTCCAGACAGATAAATGTCCTAATATGGTACTGGACGTGCACTGATATGTAAATGAACTGTGAATAGAAGAGTGAATGTCGGCGTTTAAGTTTTGTCATCACAAGATTTACAGTGAATTTTAACATCATTAAATATACTGGCTGTTATATCGACTACTGGCAGCTCCAAAACCCTTTTATATCTGTATCGTATCGGTCTCCAAAAAAACCATATCAGTTGGGCCCTATAGTAGTTTCTTTATGCCTATCTCTCTCCCTCTCCCTCTTCTCATCCCTCCGTCTCGTTCTTTTCTCTCTTCACGATGTAGTACGATGATCCAAATTCTTTAAATACCAGGAAAGACCCGAACACCTGCCACAGACGCCCCGGAGCTGAACAACAGAGATGTGGCTGCCATTCTGATCACCACCAATCACTCAAACAGCAGTAATACGTGTACCTTAGTAATGACAGGAACGCAGTACTCTGGGGTCAGTATCAGTAGTAGCAGTAGTGATTGTATTAATAGTAGTAGTAGGAGCAGTAGTAGTAGTATTTGTACCTTAGTAATGACAGGGGCGCAGTACTCTGGGGTCAGTATCAGTAGTAGCAATAGTAATTGTATTAATAGTAGTAGTAGGAGTAGTAGTAGTATTTGTACCTTAGTAATGACAGGGGCGCAGTACTCCTGGCTCCACTCTGCAGATGTACACTGACTGGATCTCGTACATCGGCCATTACACCATCCGCACTCTGTTACCCTCGACGACAGCAAACAGGAAGTACAGGTGGTCAGCTGATCACAGCCCGGGCCAATCAGAGGCACCGATGTGATCTACAGGAACAAAACAATATTTAAACAAATTTATGTAACAAAAGAGCTACTATTTCTGCTCTTGTGTCCACTAGAGTTAAGCAACATTTGGAATTGTTTTACTACTAACCAGATAAAGTACATTTATTTTATTGTTGGATATTTGTGAAAAAAGATTAGCTCAGAAACAGCATATTGTAAAAGTAATCCTCAGTCTGGCTTTAAACACGGAGACAAGCAGGTGACACTAACATGGCAAACTACAGGTCAGATCTTTGAAGAGACAACCCCACTCACACAAAGGTTTAATGGCAAACAAATCTGTAAGTTTTCATTTGGAAATATGGACTGTAGGTTTGTAAAATAGGAGTATATCTGAGTACTGTAGTTAGTATTTGTACTGTACCTTGTTGCCGGTGGCGACAAGCAGGCGTCCCTGGCCCTGGAGGAGGAGGCTGGAGGAGACGGGTGCAGAGTCCAGAGTGATGTTCAGGTGAGGAGAGGAGGAGCGTGAGAAGAGGATCTGAAAAGGACGATACAAATGCTTCACTTATGAAATATAGTTTATCTCACAACAGTGTTAGAGAATTCTGAAGAATACTGAAGAACACAAGAACAGGATCTGAAACACACAGTGTGAACCACAACATTTACAAAACTCATTCAGCTCAAACCTCATGCAAACTATGGACCTCTCAGCACAACCTCAGATCTCATTTCATTCATTCATTAATTTTATTTGTTTGAACAATGTACAACAACAACAACAACAACAAGAGTATGTGCATGTACATATTTGCAATCTGGTAGTCAAAAGGAGTAGGATGAAGTTTAAAAGTCTTATACTTAAAATACAGATGACGTAAACATGTTCAAATCAATTATAGCTTCTTTTACTAATAACTGTAATACTGATTTCTTTTTAATTACAAAAACATTGGACACAATGTTCTACTTATTTAAGTTATAATTTTGTGTTTTGGTTCTCAAGAGTCTCTCATTTGGATTTCGATGCTATAATCCAGTTTGTTTAAATCTAAAACAACTTTCTCTGATCTGAACGGTCACTCCAGAAACCCCAACACCTGCACCAGTCATGAGTCAGTGCCAGTGCAGCCTCTGCAGCTCAGGGAGGGAATTTTAGAGGTTTTGAGCTTTAACATGAGGCCTATCCATAAACTGAGAATGAGACAAACTTGTATGTGTGTGTCATCCATCTGTAGGTTAAAGCTCTGGCAGGTTCAGTTGTGTTCTTAAAACCATAAGAATGCAGGATACAAACAGTTCCAGTATAAGTTCTGGTTTAGCTCTGATTCAGACCTGCTTGTTTCTCTCACATTACTCAGACTAACTTAAATTGTTATTGGTATTTTTTTGAACCGCTCTTTCACAACTTTCTCAACCACATGTTCATTGTTTTGACCCTGTGACCTTTTGGCACCTGCTCGTTTGAATGAGTCGTGTTTGTTTCATTGTTTAAAGGTGAAGAAAGGCCTGTCAGAACCTCACATTCGCTTCCTGATCCTCACCCCCCTCCCTCCCTCCCTCTCTCTCTCTCTCTACCTCCCACGTCTTTCCCCCTTTCTCTCTCTCCTCTCTCTCTACCTCCCACGTCTCTCGCTCTCTCAATCCTTCTCTGTCTTTCTCATCTATTTCCTATCGCCTCCCGCCTTCACTTTCTGATTTCTCTTCTCACACTCCCCCCTCTCTCTCTCTCTCTCTCTCCTCTCCTCTCGCTCTCTCCCTCTCCTCCTGCTTCCTTTTTCTTGCTCTCTTCTCTCTCGTTCTCTCTCCCCTCTCTCCCTCCCAGACTTCCCACTGCTCTGATACAATGCGCCGTGCTGCAGAGTGACATTAGTGAACCACAGGGAGAGTTTGTGGAGGGGAAACAGCACATTATTCATATTAGACACATTATAGAGCACACAAAGGACTCTGTCAGGATGGAGAGAGGAAGAGAGGGAGGGAGGGAGAGAGAGGGGGGAGAGTCAGTGGAGAGCGGAGACTGTATAAAGAAGTGGACTAAGTTCCAGTCGAATGAAGCTTATTGAGGCTGCGGTTCTAAGTGCGTGAGTGGGACAACAGCAACCGAAGAGCCATTCAGGAGCGAGGCTGCAGAATGTAACGCTCCGTCCCACCCGCCCCGCTGGTTTGGCAGAGAGCTGGTGTCCTGTCGAAATGAGCTCCCAGCAGCCTAAATTGACAATGACGTCTATCGATTCACGCTACCCCGTCGAAATAAGCGACCTTACGTTTTTCCGTTTACAATTGTATAGATCCAATAAACCAAACCCTGACTCTAACCTTCCTAGTTTGACAATATATTTCTTTGGATTAGAGACGCAGGTTTGATGCTGTTTGCACACGGTGATCACACTTTATATGAATATGCGTAGGTAGCTCATTTCGACAGTCATATTGTGATATCGAATAGGGCTCCGACTAAAGGAAGCACATATCGACAGGACAATTTAACCATCGACTAATGTTCCCACTGTAGAATCACCATTATTCACTCATTTATATGAATTCGGGTAGAGGTAGCTCATTTCGACAGGCCTATATCCTCTATTAAATAAGGCTCTCACTATAGAAGAGAACGAAATGACAGGAAACACTCAAATCTTTATATTAAATAGCATTAAATATATAATATATCATAGGCTACAGTGTGAATTTCCTATTATAATTTAGTGATATTTTATTTAAACAATGCCTTTATAAACAAAGTTACAATGTTTTCTACACATGGAAACAAAATAAAATACGATGTAATGAAAATGATAGCGATAAAATCAAATATTAAATCTAAACTATTCAATTATCTAATGTAGATATTCTGCCGTAAATCTAACACACACATGTGGTTGTTTAACTGGTCCAAACACACAATAAAACCAAGGCACTTTTAAAATGTTACTTGTTACTCCACTTCTGCTTCAGGAGCTCAAATCGACGGCATTTAAACGGTAACAGCGCTTGGGGGTCATGTGTAGTAGCCCTAGGGAGCTCAAATTGATGGGACACCGGCGCTTAGCAAAGCTGTAAGTCAAACCTGTTGCTAGTGCTAGAGGGAATGACAGTAGTAGTAGTAGTAGTAGTAGTAGTAGTAGTAGTAGCAGTAGTCGTTGCAGAAATCTACCCTTGGACTAAACCACCAACGAACCCGCTCCAGTTTTTACATGGGGATTATTTTGGTTTTTGTGAAATTTGTTTTTCAAATTCTAAGGCAAAACAGACTTTAGCGGGAAACCAACAAGGAAATAAACCAGAGTTCAAATAGGTCACCTGCGGCAAACTGTTGGTTCCATGGAGTTGCTTTGCATAGAATGTTCCACGGTATGACATTTCATTTACTCATCAAACATGCATTCATACTGGTGAGTTAATGCAATACTGTGGGACATTTTCAAGGCATGCTTCAAGCAAAAAATAATATATTACACTAGAGTCGTAGTACTCAAGACCGGTCTTGATCTCAAGACCTCTTTCTTACGGTCAATTGTTATGAACTTGAAAAAACTCGGTAACACTTTATAATAACTACACCTTATTTAGCCTTAATAAAGCATGAACAAAGGCTTAATTAATAATGAACAAAGACTTAATTAATAATGATTCACGCTTAGTAACTACTTAATTACCACCTTAATTAGCACTTGCACTTAATTTGCCTGTGCTGTAAATAGTTACTTGTAATAATTTCATACTTAATTACTCATGGACTAACCATTTCAGCATTTATTAATCATTAGTAAACTATGAGAGAATGATTTACTAATAATAAAATGATAATTCAGGCAGCTTTTACCTATTAGTTAAGTCTTTTGGACAGCTTTTCTAAAGTGAAGACTAATTATCCTTTATTAAACATTTACTAAGCGTGAATCATTATTAATTATGTCTTTGTTCATTATTAATTAAGTCTTTGTTCATGCTTTATTAAGGCTAAATAAGGTGTAGTTATTATAAAGTGTTACCAAAAACTCACTTGATTCAGTTTGTTAACCTGTTGTTTTCTGTAAAGTGCCAGTTGAAGCGGGATTAAAGAAGAGGTTCTCAAAAGGGGCGTTTAAATGCAGTACAGTTTACTTGGCCAATTTAAGCCTAAATGAACATTAACCCGATCAAATAGAGATAGATAGATAGAGATATTAAAACATAAAGATATATATGAGCCAAAATACAAATAAAAATGACTAAGATGGTCTCAATTTGGTGTCGATGGGCCGTGGTCTCAGTCTTGTCTCAGTCTCGACCTTTAAAAGTCCCGGTCTCGACTCTCAGAGGTCTTGGTCTTGTCCTGGTCTGGGGACGCTGTGGTCTTGGACTGGTCTTGGTCTCGATTAGTGCGGTCTCCACTACAACACTATTACACTGTACAATTTAAAGAGCCCATATTATTCTATTTTCAGATCTCTGTTATAATACGGTTTCCTCATCACAAACAGACCTGGAGTTGTGTTTTGTTTCATTCTCACATGTTTAACACACAAATCCTGGATATTTAAGACGTGTTCTTCTCTTAAACAGAAAAAACTCCACCTTGTTCCACTTTGTGATGTGCTCCACTGTGTTTTTAAACTCCATACACCTTCACTAGAATCATTTGGATGATATGGTGGAACAAGGCATTTTCAGCTTAGAGATGTAGACATACTAATAACTCATGGCTACTCAAACTTGTGTGAATGAAACAAAACACAACTCTACGTCTGTTTTACGTCTTAAAGCTCACAAGAGTCCATTTTGCGTAATATAGGACCTTTAATGTTTAATAACTTATGGCATGTGCATGGAAAATGTGATTTCAAATGTGGTTTTGGTTTTGTTTTTCTGTGGGAACAAGGATCACAACAAACAAATTCCACTCACACAATGGCAAAGGATATGATTTCTGAGCTATTGTCAAACACTTGTGTAAAACGCGTAACCTACTTTGTACACTATAGCCCTACTGGGTATACATGCAATACAGCGAAATAATGGAGGCCAGACCAACCATTAAAGAAGCATTGTGTAACTTTTCTGCTGGAAGGTAAACGCCACAATGGAGATGTTGTTGTTATGTTGTTCCTATGTCCCACAGTATAGCATTAAACTCATCTGTCTTAAATGTATTCAGTTACAGGAGAAAAGAGTAGCTCTCCACAATCTGACCTGTCACTGGGTCAAACGGCATTCTCCTCGTCTCTGTGAAGATGGACACATTTAATGCTATACTGTGGATCTTTTCAAGCAAGTGGCCTATACCAATCATCGTTCGTTCATTAGTTTTTCAAAATAAAACCGAAAATAAGGAAATGAACAAATTATAATTTTCTTCATTATTTGTGTCCAAAACCAAAATGCAAAAATGGATAATGATTTGTTTTTTCAGTTTTGATTTTTGTGTTTCCATTTCTGTGATTTAAACTGTGATGCCGGACTTCTGCGTTGCATACAGACTGAACCAGGACTGAACCAGGACTGAACCAGGACTAAACCAAGACTAAACCAGGAATAAACCAGGACTAAAACCAG